GGGATAGTGTCTTGAGCAGTTTCAGCCACTCTCTTTCCCTTCTAGACTCCCTGCAGAGGGGGATCCCTCCCATCCTTCTGTGTCTCTGGTCCTGGCCCGATTTTATTTTCCCCAGTTCGCACTCATGCTAGAAGGTTTTCTCAGCGGACTCTGTCTCCTTTTCCTCCCGAACTCCTGGATTCTGTAAGGATTCCTTTGGCTTCAGACCTTCTCCATGTGAGATATGGCGGCGAGTGCAATGTACGGAGATTGCTGCTTCTCCGCCATCTTGCCCCCTCTTGGAGATGAGTACTTTTGAACCAGTGCCAGCAAACAAATTGATACTAGACAATCTGACAGAAACGTTCTAATTATTCAGGGCTGCTTTTGACCTCTTTATGACATGAACCCTTCTTGACATGGGCACTGATAATAAAACAAATGGTGGAAGAAGTTTTGATATCATATAGGAATATATTTGGAGAAACAAAAAAGCAAAAAAGTCAGAAAGAAACTATACTATATTTTGTAAAGTTATACCATGTGTGCCTGCTTCTCCTTCCTCCCTTTCCACCCCCACATCTGTTTTTGCCATCCCTGAGACAGCAAGACCAACCCCCCCTCCTCTTCCTCTTCTGCCTACTCAGTATGAAGATGAGGAAGATGAAGATCTTTATGATGATCTCCTTCTACTTAATGAATAGTAGATAATCATCATGGCATACAGTTAATGAACTTATTAACTGTGCATGTGTGTGTCTTTGTGTGAAAATCTAATAATTGTGCAGCAAGAACTGTGTCATCATCATTGTCATCTAAGTACTCATCTTGTAAAATATTATGTGCAAGATTTCTGTGGAAGGGAATAGTCTATCCTTACAGAGGCATAAGATGATTGATATTTATTATAAAATTGATAATGTGTTAGTTTTCTTGTTGCTTTATAACCTTGCTTTTTTGTAGCAGTGTTTCCATATTGTATTATGAATATAATACAGTGTTCCCTAAAGAAATTTAATGACTCATTCTCTAGTATATAGGCTAGGCCACCATGAAGTAATACTATCAATTATACTAGGCTACCATAAAGCAATCATATTGCTGTTTCTTCATTATCAACACATAAATTGTCTGTAAATAATATGAGTTTTTTTAACATCTTTTCACTTTGGGTGTCTAGTCTTAGCAACATGTGTAATATCTACAGTGTTTTGTATTATATAAGATATTACTGACATACATACTGACAGATGATTCATTTTATAAAGAGATGATACAAACTTATGGTATCAATTTCTCTTCTTACAAGTTTCTTGATAAGATTTTCTTCCTCTACCTTGCTTTATCATAAGAATACAGTATATAATACATACAAAATATGTATTAATTAGCTGTTTGTATTATCACAAAGCTTCCAGTCAGCAGTAAGCTATTATATTTAAGTTTTGGAGGAGTTAAAATTTATACTTGGACTTTGAATTGCCTGGGGTGTTGTGACTCCTAATTCCTGCATTGTTCAAGAGTCAACTGTAATGAATATTTAACTTTAAAGTGACTTCTCTAATGGCATGTCTCATATTATTATTTTCACGTTCTTAACTTTTAATTTTGATATATATATTATTTTTATATTTGGAGGTAAGAGCTGGATTGACATTTATAATGAGTAGACTGTGAACCCAGGGACTGCTTTCGGTATTTTACATTCATTTATCTCATTTAATCTTCAAAATCAGCTCCAGATATACTTCATGATCTCTGGCCCCATTTTATAAGTGAGGAAAGTAAAGCCAAGAGAAGATTGAATAACTTGCTAAAGACACAAAACTAACAAGAAGCAGAATTGGAAATTAAAGGAGAGACTTTCTGAATTATTTCTGAAACTACATTGCTTCCCTAATGTTATAAGACATTAAAAGCTGGGGGGAATTGGGGTAGGAATATGGATAACTGCCCAAAGGAGAAGTTTTTAATTATTGTCAGACTAGTCTTATGTCCCTGTTCAATGATTTTTTTAAAAAACTTGTAATTTAGAGTCTTCCTTGCTTTAAAACAAAAATTGGGCAACCTCTATTAAACTATTAACACATTTTAGTTTTAACATTTTGGTCCATAGAACCATCATATATTGTCTACCAAATAGTAATCAAATATCAAAATAAATACTATAATATTTGACTGGGATAGTTTTAGAGAATACCAGTTTAAATACCTTTTCTTTTGCTGCTGCCTTATGCTTCCCAAGGAAGAAAAAAGTAGACCTCAAAAAAAAAAAAAATGCATTATACAGCCACTCCAAACATGAATATAACTATTTTGTATTATTAATGATTTTGTTAACCAGATTTCTTTCATTATATAACAAAATATTAGTTATCTATTCCTAGATAACAAATTATTCCAAAATATAGGGACTTAAAACAGCAGACATTTATTATCTCATAGATGTTTTTGTGAGTCAGGAATTCATGAGCAACTTAGCTGGGTGGTTCTGATTCAGGACCTGTCTTGATGTTGCAGTCAAAATGTTGGCCAAGGACACAGTTATTTGAAGGCTTAACTGAAGCTAGAACATCTGCTTCCAAGATAGCTTACACACATAGATTTTGTTGGAGGCCTTAGTTCCCTGCCAAGTGGATCTCTCTGTAGAGCTGCTGGAGTGTCCTCACATGTCATCTGTCTTCCTCCAAAGCAGCTGACAGAGAAGTAGATTTCTCCAAAACAAAGAAAAGAGGGGAAGCTGACTTAGTCTTATAAATGATGCAGTCACTTCCACCATAACTGTTTGTTAGCAGTAAGTTACTAAGTCCAGCCCACACTCAAGGGGAGGGCAATTAGGCTCTACCTCTAGAGAGGAAGAGTACTGAGCAATCTATACATGTTCTCACACCACAAACAGGAGTTCCAAAAGAGGCTACAGTGAAAAAATATTAAAATGATTATGCTTTAAAGCTGTCTAATTTTGGACAAAAAGTGATATAATCTGTCATGAATGTATGGTTCAAAATTTTATAATTTCACTGATTTCTGTTCTAATCTTTATTATTGTTTTCCTTCTGTTGACTTTGGGCTTTGTTTTCCTTTTTCTAGCTCCTTTAGGAGGTAAGGTTAGGTTGTTTATTTGATACTTTTTTAGTTATCAAAGTAGGCCTGTATTGCTATAAATTTTGCTCCTAGAACAGCTTTTGCTGCATCCCCAAGATTTTGGACCATTGTGTTTTCATTTTCATTTGTCTCCATGTATTTCCTGTGTGTTTCAAAATGTTTAACCTGCACAGGACAATGATGCTGTAACATATACTACATGGTGACTCTCAAATTAACCAGTTAATTTGTATTTTTCTGTCTCAAAAGAGACTATGATGAACCCTGCTAGGATACTGCCTTATGCCAATGGGTCATATTATGAAAAAACTGAGTTATTTTGTAAGTATGGGCTTACAAGAATTGGAGAACACCCATTATAAATTACTTTAGGATAAAACATAAGACTTAAACTTTGATAGTAGCCCAAACGGCAAATGAAAGAAAACAGGTAATACAATGGTAAGCTAAAGGGTAGTGTAGACAGACAGTGAAAAGGAAGGCCCAGCTAAGAAACTGAACAGACGCTGCTCAGCCACATTCTGATGCTATCACCCAAATTAATTATGCAGATTGAGACAGTTTCCAGGCAAGGTTTTACTCTGAAGCCAAAAAAACCCACAAAAAAACAAAAAACAAAACAAAACAAAAAAACCTAAAAAAACAAAAACAAAAACAAAACAAAGAAAACAATAAAAGGCTGTCCCAGTGGAGCTGAGCTCTGGATCAAGGTTGTGCTGCATAAGGAATGCTCTAGCCAATTTCACAATCTTTATTACTGGGTGATGGGGATAGAAGTTGTCTTCCCTAAATATTAGTTATTCCTATCTGGAGAACTTGGCTTGATAAATTTGAAGATCCCCTTTATTCCACTCTGTACCTGATTGTTTTCCTCATCCAACCTTGTTTCACATAGCGATCAAAGATAGGAATTATTACTCTACTTTGTTCAAACTGAGAAATAGAGTATGAGAGATCATGCACAAGCACCTCCTCAGTGTCAGTTAACAGGTCTTTGTATCTCCAACACTGTACATGTGGTTTGTAATTGATGGAAGGCCTGGGATTTTTCTCTCATTTGTCTTAAATACCATAGTCTGTGCATTTCCTTCTTTGCCACTATGCCTTTTACGAGCAAGATGAGAAAAGTGCTACCTCACAGAAGATCAGGCCAGATGTATAATCCAGGAATATGTGTTTTCAGAGGGGGGATCATCTTCCTGTGATGGCTGCAGTGAATAGTGGGAACCCAACCAGGAAGTCATTGTGAGGTAGTAGAAAGAGTAACTTCAGAGCTAAGAAGATTGATGTCCACAGGCAGGTCTACTCCCTTTATGTTCTTGTACAAGTTACTTAACTTCTTGGACCTCAGTTTACCCGTTGCTATAATAGGAGTAATCAGACCTAGTTTGTAGAATTTCTATCAGGCTACCATGAAAACACTGGTAAGTCCATTTCTTTCCTCTACTTCTTTCCTTTCTCCCATTTGTTTAGGGACGTCTTTTGTCACAGGAGCTGGAGATTCAGTTGAGATCTGGGTAATACTGGAAAGTGTTGGAACTTAGCACTTTTTTCTATAGGCCCAGGTACTGCAGTACTTTATATGCATTAATTTAATCCTCAAAATGAACCTGATAAGGGCTTAGTGATTATTCCCCCATTTTATACGTGAGGAAACTGAACCCTAAGGAGGCATAAATAATTACCATGTAGGTAGTGATATAAAAATCCCTACTTGACCCATGGTAGAACTCCAAGTCTAGATATCAGAGTCTTCAAATGCTAATTCAGTGAACCATTTCATGCAGCTATACTCACAGTTGACACACAGACTTTTCACATTCTTTACATATAAAATATAACGATGTTCTGCCTCATTTAGATATGTATCACTTGGTTATGTTATAAATGAACAAATGTGTTTTTACTCTTTTTAGAGTTCCTCTCCCTCAGCTAAGGAGTATGATAAAAGATGTTGTCCAAACCTTAACATTTATGTATGGTTCTTTAGATAGGTAAGTATGAATTGAATCACAAGTTTTTTTGTTTATTTAAAAAAAAAACTTTTAGCCATAGAGAACAAACTGTTGGTTATCTATGGGGAGGTGGTGGGAGGATGGGAAAAATAAGTGAATGGGATTGAGGAGTGTACTTGCTGTGATAAGCACTGGGTGATGTAGGGAGGTGTTGAATCACTATATTGCATATCTGAAATTAATATAACAGAATATTAACTATAGTGGAATTAAAATAAAACCTTAATAAAAAGTAATATAAAAAAAAAAGATACCAGGGCTCCTAAAAAATGAACCTTAAGTTTTAAGTACATGATTCCAAATCACCGTTTGCATTTAATACTTTTCCTTGCTTGGCAAGTTAGTTATTTGGGTTTTTTTTTTCTTTTTTCCTTTAATTTTCTCATCTTTTATTACTGGCTATATTTTATAGTTCTGGGCACTTTTTCACTTGATCCATTCATTGCTTTTTCTTTTTTGGTCTCATGTTAGTTTAGTGAAATAAAGTAAAATAGTGATGAAACCATAATTATATTCTGATTTGACATATTACGGAAGAAGCAAATGTAAGGGCATTTCTTCAAAACAAATACAGAAAAGAGTAAGAAGATTTTAAATTGTGTTTTTCTCTGATTATAAGACCATTGTCTAATTAGTATCCTAAAATTTGATTGTTCTTTCTTAAAAAACAATTTTAGTAAAAAAATGCACTATTAAAATAAATAAATGACACAATAAAGAATGTATTATTTTGTTTCATATGTGTTACATATTTCCTATTCAATATGAATACAATATATATATTCCCTTTTAGAATATATGTAGGCTATTGTTATGCCTGTTTTCCTGCTTCTTACTTTTTTAACATTACAGTAAAATATGATGCATCTTTCTTGATCTGAAGGAGGCAATTTGGGGTAACTTCAACATTTGAATACATAAAATTATGGATGAAAAATATTTTTCTGTTTATGGGATTTTTCTGAGTCCCAGCACTTCAGAGAGCTAAAATGATACCTTTGCTTTCAAAGCCTTAAGATTATATCAGTATAAAAATCCAAAACAGTTTATATCTTTCCAAACCATAGTGGTATCATCTCTCTCTTTATCTGTTATGAATCTTTGTTGTCACTGTTCTCAAAGCAGCCTGAAAGAATTTTCTGTGATTGTGCCATCAGAATTCTCCTCAAAGAGCTTCTTAGGAGACGCATCCCTCTCAAACCCAATTACTAATGAGCCTTTTCCAAATGTGTAAACTACAAAAGCCCAGGCAGCCATTGTTTCTACCTTTTACTAATACGGAAACTTTTAACCAATGAACAGTAAGGATATGGTTGTAAACTACTTCCTTAAATTTACACTGGGTGAGCAAACCTTGCTATGTTTTGCCTTAACTGAAGCTTTATGTTTTCATAAAAACAGAGATAAATAAAGATTAAATTCCTGTGATGAATTCTATACCTTAAGACAATCATTTGGGGCTATTCTGCAAATTCCAATGGACTAGGTTGGGAGCAGAGAGACTCTTCATTTCTGTGAATTTCGTTTTGAAATTTTGCTTCCATTTACTTGAAAATATCACCAAAATGGCAGCATTTTTAGTTTCTTCTTGTTCTAGTGAGAATTGGAAAGGCAAACTAAGATAGTAAATATGAAGATCCGTTGAGTTCTTAAGACCAAGAAGCAGTATGTATCCAAGGTGTTGTTATTAGTCATTTTGCAGTAATTTTTAATAAGGTTTTTTCTAATTACTAAAGATATTAAAGGCCCATTATGAAAAATTATGAAGAGACTAAAAAGTTCAAAGACCTAATTTATTTTTTTAAGTTGTTAACTGGTTAGTTCCTGCGAGCCACAGAAAAGTGATTATGTATTAATCACTAAACTATATATTAACAAAGTTAAGGGGCACCTTGATGGTTCAGTGGATTAAGTGTCTGACTCTTGATTTCTGCTCAGGTCATGATCTCATGGTCATGAGATCAAGCCCTGCATTGGGCTCCGGGCTAGATGTGGAGCCTGCTAAGATTCTCTCTCTTCCTCGCCCTTTACCCTTACCCTGCTCATGCTCTCTCTCAAAAAAAAAAGTTTAGTGTTGTGATCATATTAAAGATATATTTCCCTTACTAATCTCAGCCAAACTATCAGCAAGCTCTAAACAGTCTGTCTCCGAAACATATCTCAAATCCATTCACTTCTCCATCTTCACTATCACCTTGTCCAGCTACAACCATCTCTCACTACTACAACAATCTCCATTCTTGCCACTTTAATAAATTTTCATTGCCTCCATTCTTGCAACTTTAATAAGTTTCCAAATGCAGTTAAAGTAGTTTTATATTATAATCTGGCTCCTACATACCTTTCTGATTTCAGATCTCAAATCACATTTATTCCTCTGTGCTGTTCTGTGGACACCCTGGTCACACTTTTTTCCACCCTAGGACTTTTGCACTCTTTTCTCTCACCAGATCTTCTTGATCTTGGGTCTCAGCTAAATGCCCATTCTCAAAGATTCTTTCCCAACTTTTGATCTAAAGTAACCAATCAGTCACATCACCCATTCACATGATCTTATTCTCTGTATAGTGCTTTGTACAAGTTCATGTGTTTACTCATTGTTCATTAGTTGTCTTTATCCACTAGAACACGAACTCCATGGGAGCAGAGACCTTGTCTTTTGTCTTGATAATTTTACTGCTGTACCTCCAGCAATGAGAATAGTGCCTGGAACATAGCTGGCACTGAAGCAGTTTGTTGAATGAATCCATGAATATTATTCTGATGTATTAATGGTACATGTACTAGTTATTGTGTTATCAAGCAGGCTATTCCAGTGAATGGTTGTAGGCAATGCTCTTATTATTTTTACATAACTAAAGCCAAGTGTTTAGTCTGTCTCTTTCTCCCTCTGCTCTCTTTTGAGTTCTTCAGTAGTGTTGCCTACATTAGTGAAGAGGGGAGAAATAACTTAGACTAATTATGTGTTTACTGTGTTCAGTAAGTAATAAGTATAATAAATACTTACTTTGTACTAGCAACTTTGCATGCAAGTCATATTGTATTATCCCCATTTTTAGAGTTGGAAACAAAAGTTCAAAGAACTTTCCCTGGTAAAAGCAATTATAAGATTCAAAGCCAGATATGTTCTATTACAAAGCTCAAGATCTCTTTATTTTTTCATCTTGCCTGAAAGATATTGAGAGGTTTAATAATTAAGAGATAAGGTAAAAGCAACTTACTTATTTTTACAAAAAGGGTACTTAAGCCTATGCTATTGTAGATTTACTGCTTGTGTTAACCCTGTAGTTCTTCCATAATACCATCTACTCAGTGCATTTGAAAGTAGGTTTTCGGTGCAATAACATTATAGCAGTAATTCTTCATAAGGGAAAGGAGGAAGGAAGAGAGCCTATGTATTTAGGAAAGATCCAGTCTCTTAGGAACATACAAAAGACGACCACCATTTCCATATGTTTTTCTGACTTACAGCTGTTGTTTCTTCAGTGCCTTTTGCCAGGTTGAGAATGTTCCTCGTTTGGATCATTTTTTCAGCTTGTTCTTTCAAAGAGCACTCCAGCCTGCTAAACTACCTTCCAGTGCCAGTTTGAATGCACAACAATATGATGCTTCCAGTTCAATGCTTTTAGACAGCCTCCCCGGAGTTCGGTGGCTCATACTTCCACAGGAAATCAAGGTAATCCTGGGTGTCATGAATAAAAATCAGAACCAGTTGCCTTGTAATTTTTCATCTTCTCTCTTTTTTTTAACCTTTTTGTTATTTTCAGGATTGTGGGTAAGAGTTGAAGCCATTGACTGATGAAGTAGGTGATCCAGTATAGTGAACTTAGAAAGACAAATATTTCTTTCTAAACAGAAATTAGCTCTCTTATCTAACTTAAACACTTAAGCGTTTTCTAAATTTGTAATACTTCTCAGAAATCGTAATTATATGGTGTGACTTGCTTTTGTTAATTTGTCACATGTTCTTTTTTTAATGTCATTTTCCTTAAGGTACAATGGAATAATTAAGAGAACAGATACTTTGCCTATTCTCTTAAGGAATATGAAGAAACAATTACAGTAACCTTGTACATTAGCCTGCAGAGTGCAGTAGCAGGAATAGCAGCCTATAAACATTAATATTTGTGAGATCAAAATTCACAAGCGGGTATTTTTCTTTTTGTCCATTAGTTTTTACAAGAGAAACTACAGTCACAAAAAGGAGTACATGAAATATTTGCTAGATACAGAAAAATGCAGGTCACAAATGAGTAATAAGTCATAGTGACTGAAAAGCATTGAAAGGCATGACTAATGTTTCCAAAGCTTTTGTCATCTCAGTAAGACACAGTTTGTGAAATAGTCCTGCAGAGAGTGCCTTGGCCTTTAAAAAGAAAAAGGAAAAGAAAAAAAAAAGGATTCTTTACCACAAATTGCGTATATGCTATGAGCTTTAATTGCCAATAGTTTTCAATTTATATATAAGCATTATAGATTAAACCACAGATTAAATTTATTCTGTTCTTAAATTCTGAATGTTTTATGGAAGAACAAACACATAAAAGAGTTTGGGCAATTTCCATAGAAACAAAAGCTAAATCCTAAGTAAGATTTTTCTAATAACTCTGTAGGGAAGCTAAACTGTGCCAGGTTCCAGGGGAACACTTGTCTTCATGTTTTAATCCATAAATAAAGATTAAAAGTCCTTTTATATAGAGCATAGGAAAGAAACAGGGAAGAATGTTTATTTTCCAGGGATCTGTTGAGAAATATGCAGCAATAGAAGAGGGTAAAACCCTCAAAATAGATTGGGTACGTTGAGATTATTTTCCTGTAAGAATTTTAATAGGTTCAGAAATTTTCTAACTAGGAACTAGAAAGCAGTTTTTTAACCTCATAAGTTATTTTGCATTGAACACAGAGTGAAGCTCATTTTGTAATAAGATTTAATTGGAAAATGACAATATGTTGAATAATGTTTTTCCCTGTAATTGCAAAGCTTAAAACAACATGTTCTATTTTTGAACATTTCTTAAATATCACAAAGGAGAAAGATACTTACTCAATTATTCAAGAAATTATTAAGCACTTTTACGAGGCCATTACTAAACAATAAGTGAGTTAAATGGTTATTTTTTTTTTCCCACCTAGATGGAACTAGACACAGCATTAAGTGACTTGGAGTCTGCAGATTTTGCAGAACTGGTAAGAAAACCAGTGGCTTTTAGGTGTAATGTTGATTTCATATATTGTAAATCAGCCATTATTCTAAATATTTTTCAATGGGTATGTAATCTTGAAATAGGTAGCATTGGACATGAATAAAACGTTTCTATTTTGCTTGCCTTAAAAAAAACTCATATTTATTATTTTAATTTTTATTTATTTATTTATTTTAATGTTTATTTATTTTTGAGAAGAGAGAGAGCAGAGAAAGAGGGAGACACAGAATCCGAAGTAGGCTTCAGGTTCTGAGCTGTCGGCACAGAGCCTGACATGGGGCTCAAATCCATAGACCATGAGATCATGATCTGAGCTGCAATCAATAGCTGGATGCTTAACCGACTGAGCCACCCAGGTGCCCCACTTATGTTCTATCCTTCTAAATGTCCCTAAAAAACAATATCTTATAAGAAAAAATAAGATTGTTTTCGGTCAAAAATATATGCACATTACCTTTCACCTTAATACCCTAGCATATTCATTTCTAAAGAAGGCACTAAGAAAAGTTCAGTTACTAAAGAATATAGTTGCCATTTTTAGTCATTAGAGCTTAACTAGGATTTTTTTAATCAAAGAAAACAAAGACTATAAATCCACTGTGGTTTTGCTCCTCCAGTCTGAGGACTACTATGACATGAGGCGGCTGTATACAATTTTAGGATCTTCACTATTTTACAAGGTAAGTTGAAAGTTGAAATTTTTATAAATGTCCAACTGCTATATGAACAGACCTAAAGTAAATTTTCTTAAACTTCTACAAACATGAAAAATACATTTATCTCTTTTCCTTTGAATATAGTTACCATAAAATTAAGGTCTTAAAAAGAACCAGTACCTACATATTTATAAATACAATAAATATTTCTGATTTTATTACATTCTCAAGCATTTGCAGATGTATAAAGGAGAAACAGTACTCGAGGAACCAAGTTCAGATGAGAGAAGAGCAACACTTTCTTGATTTCTTTTTGCAGCAGTGTACTTTTTTTTCTCATCCCCAGACATAACCATGTATCTTTTTAGCAAATCTTCTGACATTTTGTTAACTTCCATGCAAAGCAAACTAAGCATCAAATGAATTTAAGTTCATTTTGAAGTTTTGGTACTTCAAGATTTTTAAACACAATTTAAAACATATCTAAAAAAGAATCAAACAGTACAGAGTGGTACAGAGTGAAAAGTCTGTCCTCACCATAACTTCTCTTTTCCACTTCCCATCCTCAGAATTCAGTTCTTTTCTAACTTTGCCAAACACTCAGGCTTATACTACTCAGATCATCTTGCTTTGTGCTAAAGTCTGTTGTAGACTTAACTTATCACAAATATTTGCTCTCTAACTGACCTCAGGAAAAGACCATTTATTTTTGCTATGTCTTTATTCTGTTTGAAACTGGAATATTTTAAGCTAACTGAAGTACCTATAAAACTCTTAGAAATATATTATGGCATAGTTGACTTTTGTTCTTTGTGGTCAAATTCAAGGGTTATTTGATCTGCAGTCATTTACCTAAGGATGACCTTATTGATATTGCCGTATACTGTCGCCACTACTGCCTACTGCCATTAGCAGCAAAACAAAGAATCGGTCAGTTGGTTATATGGAGAGAAGTGTTTCCCCGACATCACCTCCAACCTTCTACAGACTCAAACACTGAAGTCTTTCAGGAACCTGAAGGAAGATATTTTTTGCTAATTGTTGGCTTGGTAAGTTTACTTTGTTTTCTGTGTGTGTGTGTGTGTGTGTGTGTGTGTGTGTGTGTTGTGGGGTTTTTTTTTTGACCATTTACTATCTAAATAAATACCCAAACATGGTAATTTAAAATTATGAGCATGTTAGATATCAGTATTCAAGAAAATGTTATATGTCCCTTATTCCTTTTCTTTTATATCCATTTAATACTTGTGGAGAAATATTAATGAAGCCTATAATAAGTTTTTATCAGGTTCTTAAGATCTTTTGTTCTCATTTCTGTAGCGGTTTTATCCTCTGGTTTGTCTTAGGATATAGAAACATAAAAAGAATATAGAATCAGAAAAAACATGTGATTGTAGATGAAAGGACTTCCTATCACTGTGGCTCTTTGAAAGCCACCTTAGGGAATTCCATGTATCAGAAAGTAGTGTTTGATGGTATACCAGGAAGAGGCAATATGAGATTCGTTTTCAAGGATGATCAAGAAGCATTGAGAATACCTAAGAAATGGAGGGAATTTTTAATAGTCATATGATTACACCATGTTTTTAGTATTTATTAATTTATATTTTCACATTCCACAGAATCATTTTCATGTAGCTAAACCTCTATTAATATTTTTCTCTTTTAGAAGCATTATATGTTATGTGTACTATTAGAAGCTGGAGGCTGTGCATCTAAAGCTATTGGGAATCCTGGACCAGACTGTTTATATGTGGATCAGGTCAAAACAACTCTTCACCAATTGGAAGGAATAGATTGTCGCATAAATGAACAACTAACATCTTCTCCAAGCCCCTGTTTGTCCTGTGCTGACTGGTTCCTTACTGGATCACATGAAAAATTAGATAGTTTGACAACCTCACCTATCCTCAGTAGGCTACCAGGTACTTCCAAAGTAGCAACCTCTCCAACATGCAGAAGAATTCTTTTTGGTGACTATTCCTTAAAGACACGTAAGCCCAGTCCTTCCCGAAGCAGTGGAGGATCAGACAATGGTTGTGAAGGTGGAGAAGGTGTTGGCCTGAGCCCCCACACTACACCAGATGCAGTACAGAAACAACAAAGAGAATCTCAGGGCTCTGATGGTTCAGAAGAAAGTGGGGCCTTGCTTAAGGTATGTGTTCACCTGAGTACATTTGGAAGCTAAGCTGTCTTTCAAGTTCTTATGATTGCAAGAAAATTTTAATGGCAAATAATTCTTCATTTGATCTAGTGGTTGTTTTGGTTATTGTTAGCAGATCAGTGACTTAGAACCAAAAAAAGAATATTAAGTAATAAAATAGTAGCATCCAGGACAGCTGCTTGACGTTACTTACAAGTAGGGAAATTCTTTAATCCTGCTTTCCCTGTTCATCTTTCTTCTGTATTCACAATGTTAACAGAGAACATCCTAGCTGTGGGGGGGTGGGGGGGGTGATTAGAAGGCTGATCTGACTAAATAACCAATAAAATATTCAACAGAAACAAAAAGAGAATCAGAAACTTAAAAGAATATTTACGTAAGTATTTGTGTGTATACATGTTACTCTATAGGTTTTTATAGGTTTTTTGTTTTGTTTTGTTTTTATTTGCATCTATAAGGGTCTGATCTCTGTGTCAAGAGTTTAAAATGTGATTATAAAGCAGAGAGTGTTCATTTTTTATCATTTTCCCATGATTTTGGATATAATAATATATCCAAACGATCATCAAAGTTATCTCCCTGGGAGGTTTTCTACTATTCTAGTGATGCTCCACTTTCAGAACACTTTTGAAACTTGTCATTTGGATTGATGGAGGTGATGTCAGGCAGGGCATGAAGAATGTGGAATCTGAGAAGGGGCACAAATAAAATGTGAGAGTCTGAGTGTCATGGCATAAATAGCCATTGATTCCATCTTCTAATTCCAAACAGTGTGTCTTGGTGTCTTAAGTGGATATATTTAGAAAGTACTCGCATTCATACTCTATATTCATTATCCCAGTTGGTGAAATTGGTAGGAAACATAGTTTAAGAAGTAATAGATTTAAGGAGCCATGAATAACTCTGAAGAGATATTAAATAATCTCTACGATTGAGCCATTCAACAAATTTGAACACCTATTATGTGCTAAGGGCCATGCTACACAGAGAAGATACGAAGTTGGATAAGACACAGCCCCTGTTGTGGAGTGCAGAGTCTAGAGAGGAAGACAAGTACATTTACATATAAAATGTAAACAAATTTGTGGCACGTGGGTGGCTCATTTGGTTAAGTGTCTGACTCTTGGTTTTGGTACACGTCATGACCCCAGGGTTGTGGGATCAAGCCCCACATTGGGCTCCATACTGAGCTTGGAGACTTCTTGAGATTTTTCTCTCTTTCTCCTTCTGCCCCTCTTTCCCTCTCATACTCCCTTTTTCTCTAAGATAAAGAAAAGAAAAAAATTGGAAAAAAAAGTATAACAAAACTTGATAACGGCTCTGGTAGATTTTCAGAAGAACTATCATGTCCTTCTATGACATGGCCTGAGGTCTCTGTTAGCAAAGAATAAGCCAGAAGATATAAAAGTTAACATCAAACATAGTTAAAGGAAGCATTGCAAAATAGCAAATAATTCTCTTAGAAGGATTTTCAGTTTTCATACTATTTTTGCTGTTTGATTCCATTCTTAGATACAAACTGATCTACCTAACTGCATTTTTCAGGTCACCAAAAAGAAGTCTGCTCTACCAAATCCATTTCATTTGGGGAACTTGAAAAAGGACTTTTCAGAAAAAGAACTGGAAATATATAATACAATGAAGTAAGAAACTTCCTTATAATAATTCTTTTTTTTTTTTTGAACATCATGTCTGAGGAAATTTTACAAAAAGAAAGTATGAATCCATAACATATAGAGATTTAATTCAAAAATGTAATTATGATATTTCTTACATATTAAAGGAAATGTCTATGCTAATTCACTAATGTTTTTCATTATACAAAAGGGAACCTGTACTTCTATTACAAGAGATAAAAAAAAACAGAGTAGTGTATCAAAATGTGAAAGTCCCCCTTTATCTCCTACCCACAGATAACCTCCCTTTTGTATGTCTAATTTTTAAATTATAGGATCTACTGTTTTTAGACTCTGGTGGATGCTGTGGTCTGCTGCATAGATACTCCGTAGCCCAGGGTACTCCTTCCCAGTGTTTGGGGATAATGGCTGCTAACTGCTCACAGCTGAGTCCCTCCCTGGCCTTGCTCTGCTTCAAAGTTTATTAATTCAGCCACGATGACAAATTCTTCCTGGGAATAGCCCACATCTAACAACTAATAGATAAGCTGAATACAATGACTTGGCCTAAATTTAAGACAACTCTAAAAGGCCATCCAAGCCTCAGAGTTCCAAGTCATATCTGCTGAGATCTTGTTTCAACTGCAGTGTGGTTCAGCTTCTCCCTCTGGTCAGTCCTGCTTCTTTCTCACTTCCCCCCATAGGTGTTGTTCCCCAGAGTTCTCCCTAGTAAACTTCCTCACTGCATCTCCCTCAGAGTCCAAGGGCAGGAACTGAGCCTATCACACCAATTTTAGGAAAGAGATGAAACCTCAAACTTAAGTAGGGAATTTTGAAGTAAAAGGAACTGAGTGAAAGGAGCATACCTGTAAGATTTTATTAAAATATAAAATGTCTATAATTATTAAACTCTATAATTATTAAAATATAAAATGTTACATGTTCACTTCTTGTGCATCTATTATGTGGTGACGAACAGGTCTTTCTGAGCTCTGCCTGATGTTTAATTATGATATCATGTGTGGGATCAGTTAGTATAACAACTCAATTGCACACTTTTATTTGAACAAGCAGACACAGAAGTACAAATCACACACAAAAAGTTCGGCACTATTACTTTCTTAACCATGAAACATTTTTTTAGAGGTTATGAATGTTTATTTTTTATGTTTATTTATCTTTGAGAAAGAGAGAGAGGAAGGAAGGAAGGAAGGAAGGAAGGAAGGAAGGAANCTCAGAGCTGTTCTCTTTGTGAGCATGGAGGACTGCGAACCAGAAGAGGGAGGGAGGGAGGGAGGGAGGAGGGGGGAGGGAAGGAGGGAGAATCCCAAGCAGAGATCCCACACCATCAGCATAGAGCTGGACGCAGGTCTCAAACTCACAAACCGTGAGATAATGACCTGAGCTGAAATCAAAGTCAGACACTTAATCAACTGAGCCGTCCAGGCACTCCAAAACATTTTATAAGTTCGTATATATATATGTCATAGAGTTGTCAGAAATAGCTTTTTTTCCCTGACATTAGAAAAAAAATGGCAACTTGTCTGCATAAAATAATGCAGTGGGAATCTAATGTGTTAAATTTGGTATTTAATGTCTTCAAAAACCATGATTAAGTTTTTAATAGTTAAAAATGTTTTTTAAACAAATCTACATCAAACCTTTTGTGAGCTATGAAATACTTTCCCAAACCGTCGTCTTCCATTTAACAACTACCACTCTGAAATTTTGTTACCTCCACATCTTATTTTTTAAATGTGTGTGTTATTTTGGCCTTATCTCTAGTAAAAGGAAATGTTTTCCAAGTTCAGTTCAGGCTTAAACATAAATTCATATGTGATGTAAATCATAGGCTCTCTATTTAAAAATATGTTATAGAGGTGCCTGGGTGACTTACTGGGTTAAGCATCTGTTTCTTGCTATTGGCTGAGGTCATGATCTCAAGGTCATGAGATCAAGCCCTGCCTGGGGCTCCGTGCTGAGGATGGAGCCTGCTTGGTATTCTCTCTCTCTCTCCCTCTGCCCCTGCTCCTCTCCCACTCATGTGCTTTCACTCTCATTCTGTATCTCTCTCAAAATAAATAAAGATTTTTTTTAAATTTTTAAAAAGATGCTACAGATGCATATTTATTTTCTTTATTGACATGAAAGATGTTCATACTATGTAGTTAATTTAAAGGTGTGACATAAACAGTATAGATTATCCTAATTTGTATGTGCATACTTTTACAAAATAAAAATGTATAACATATTAAAAATAACATACACAAAACAGTTCATTTAGTAACTGAGTCCTAGCTATTCTACATTCTAATAATTATGTAATCCATTCAGCCCCTGTTGTTCCTACTGTAGATCAGGCTCCCATTGTCTTACCCAGCTTTACTGCAACAGTCTTTCAACTCCCAGCCTACCATGAATCCATTTTCTGCTGCAGCAGTGACCTTTTCCAATAATAAATCTGACTTAATCTGTGCTTTCACAAATATCTTGTCTTCACATTGGGTAATTGTTTGATGATTTTTAAACTTGCAGTGTATATACTGAGTTAATATACTCTGAGTGACTTTATGATTTTCAAGAGCTAAATTTACTCACTGTGTTGTGGGTTTTAATTTTTTTTTGAGAGAACGTTAAAAAAGACAACAAAAATATTAATTGTAAACCTCCCTAAAAAGGAATCTTTGGGGCACCTGGGTGGCTCAGTCAGTTAAACGTCCAACTTCGGCTCAGGTCATGGTCTCACAGTTTGTGAGTTCAAGCCCCACATCGGGCTCTGTACTGACAGCTCAGAGCCTACAGCCTGCTTCAGATTCTGTGTCTCCCTCTCTCTGTGCCTGCCCCACCCCCACCCCACTCATGCTCATGCTCTCTCTCTCAAAAATAAATAATCACTAAAAAATAAAGATTCTAAAACCTAAAAAAAAGGAATCTTATTAATTGCTCTTTTTAAGGAATTGTTTCTCTTCTGTATTTTTCTTAATTTTGAAGACCTCTAAACTAAAATATATGTTTTAATTTTTTTCCTTTTTGAATAATCATAACTCCTTTCTTCTTGACTATTTGAGTTATTAATCGAAAAGTATCAGCCACCAGTTGAGTTGTTAATGAGCCAGCCACCTTCTAGTAAACTATGAGAAAAATTTGCAGATGATCTCCTTCCCTGTCTATCCCTGGTCTGAAAAGAGAACCAAGGCCATAAATCACTAATAAGAAGGAGAAATTATTCTGATCATGCTGCCTAATTAACAGTTTAACAGGAATTTAACTAGCATGGATGATCAAAGACATTATCTAGGCTAAGAGCTAAAATATGCCTTTTCTCTGTTTCTGTGCTTATGGCTGGAAAAAAAATAAACTGGGGGGGCAGCTTGAGTGTTTGAGATGCAAATGGAGAAATGCTGTCTCTATGTTTAAAGGTTGCCAATCAGAAGTCATCAGTGGAAAGGAAAAAACAAGGTATAGTGGAGTAAGCTTCAGAGTTAGCTTAGCTTAACCACTTAGCTGTGTGACCTCAAGCAAGGTAATCTGAGATCTCTGAACACTGGTTTCCCCATGGTTAAAATGAGGGGAGTAATACTCTTTAATATCTCACAAGGCCATTATGAGAATTAAGACTAAGGTATTTTAAAACACCATCCCTCCCTCTCTGGCACAGAGAGGACATTCAGTATAGTATGTGATAACTATTAGTATTTTGTTGTTGCTGTCACTGTTATTCTTTAGCTCTTCTTACCACTGGTAGAAATACATATTTGTAGATTCTACTGGCCTGTCTGAAATAGAAATAGGGGAAGAAAGATTTAGACGAAGAATGGAGAAATGAAAATAGTAAGAGAACATGGAAGGGAAGGAAGACTGTGATGATGAGTAGTAGAATACTACCATTAATTGCCATAGTATTCTAGATTATTAACCCCGCTTTACAGTCAATAATAATAATTTTATCTTTCTTCAGGATCATCAGTCTGACTGTTATATGCTACTAAATTAAATGTGTTCATTTCGTTGGAAGGTGTTCTTGTATATGGTCCACTCTAGACTCATACCTTATTTATGACGTGTAGCTATCTGGGCCAGACAGTGGCTGACTTATTTGTTACCAGCCATGGAAAAAGAAGGGTTTAGCCAATCTGTGTTGTTTAGCAAAGGAACAATTAAGTTGTCATGTAGTATTTGCCTCCATTAAGGAATTGATAATAATCCTACCTTGTACTTTAGCTAGGGAAGAAATGGGACTAGTTTCCCTGCCTTAATTACACTCCTAATATTATATTGTAGATAAAAGCTTACAAGTCTACAAACATTCATAATGAAAGAATATTTTTAAGTTTACTTAAATATCTTTTTTCTTCTTTTCAAGATTAACATCTGGTCCTGAGAACACACTGTTCCACTATGTTGCCTTAGAAACTGTGCAAGGGATCTTTATTACTCCTACCCATGAAGAGGTGGCACAGCTAAGTGGATCTATCCACCCTCAACTAATAAAGAATTTCCATCAGTGTTGTCTCTCCATTCGTGCAATTTTCCAACAGACATTGGTAGAAGAGGTAGGATACTGCCATAAATATAGTTTTCTGTTCCCAGATCTCTAAATATTCTCCTAAAAGTTCTTTAATTAGTATCTCCAATAATGACAGTTTTTATTTAAAAATTTTTTAAGTCACCCAATCTAACTTGAGTGCCCAAAGGATTATACTCACAATATTTAACTTCAAGTCTTTGTTTGATAATACTGAGTGTGATGTCCAGGATTACTATTTCAGAAAATGGTGGACCTGTGTTTTTCTATTGCAAAGTAGAATTTGGTAGTTTGTAATGTAAATTAGCCTCCATATTTGATATTTGTGAGTCAGCCATTACTTGCCAATAGTATCTACCAGTTGGTAATTGTGATAATTCTTTAAATATTCCATCAATAATATATTTTGTAATATAATAGGATAAAATACAGCAGTAGACACAATACTGTTGCAAATATTTCAGCCACTTGATTCATTTCTTGCTTGCTTTTTACTTTATTTTTTTTCCTTAAATAGTTTATTGTCAAGTTGGTTTCCATATAACACCCAGTGCTCATCCCAACAACTGCCCTCCTCCATGCCCATCACCCCCTTTCCCCTCTCTCCCACCCCACTCAGACCTGTTTGTTCTCAGCATTCAAGAGTCTCTCATGGTTTGCCTCCCTCCATCCCCCCAACTGTTTTTCCCCTTCTTCTCCCACATCATCCTCCATTAACTTCCTCCTAATCCACCTATATGTGCAAACATATGGTATTTGTCCTTCTCTACCTGACTTACTTCTCTCAGCATAACACCCTCTACTTCCATCCATGTTGCTACACATGACCAGATTTCATTCTTTCTCATTACCATGTAGTATTCCATTTATAGATACACCACATCTTCTTGATCAATTCATCAGTTGATGGACACTTAGGCTCTTTCCATGTTTTGGCTATTGTTGAGAGTGCTGCGATGAACATTGGGGTCCACGTGCCCCTATGCATCAGCACTCCTGTATCACTTGGGTAAATTCCTAACAGTGCTATTGCTGGGTCATAGGGCAGAACTGTTAATTTTTTGAGGAACCTCCACACTGTTTTCCAGAGGGGTTGCACCAGCTTACATTCCCACCAGCAGTGTAGGAGTATGCCCATTTCTCCACATCCTCACCAGCATCTATAGTCTCCTGATTCATTCATTTTGGCCGTTCTGACGAGCATGAGGTGGTATCTGTGTGGTTTTGATCTGCATTTCCATGATGATGAGGGACACTGAGCATTGTTTCATGTGTCTGTTGGCCATCTGGATGTCCTCTTTGAAGAAGTGTCTCTTCATGTCTTCTGCCCATGTCTTCACTGGATTATTTGTTTTTCAGGTTTCGAGTTTGATGAGTTCCTTATAGATAGTGGATAAGAGCCCTTTATCTGATATGTCATTTGCAACTATCTTTTCCCATTCCGTTGGTTACCTATTAGTTTAATGGATTGTTTCCTTTGCCGAAGCTTTTTATCTTGATGAGGTCCCAGTAGTTCATTTTTGCTCTTGATTCCCTTGCCTTTAATTGTGTCAAGTAAGAAATTGCTGCGGTGGAGGTCAAGGAGGTTGCTTCCGGCTTTCTCCTCTTCGGTTTTGATGGTTTCCTGTCTCACATTCAGGTCCTTTATCCATTTTGAGTTTATTTTTGTGTATGGTGTGAGAAAATGATCTAGTTTCATTCTTCTGCATGTTGCTGTCCAGTTCTCCCAGCACCATTTG